TTATTTTGTTATCGTTTTTATCGTTAACTCGGTTTTCCTGGGTCTTTTCACGTGTGTTATGAATAAATCTTCTTTTTTTTCGCTACCAGTACTAGTTTTATTTTGTTGTATTTATCCGCCACACCTTAAAGGCCGGTCCATTAAAAAAATATTGTCGGGCATAAACCGGACCGTGGCGCAAAAAAGGTTTGGGACCGCTGTTCTAGATATTGCTAAATGCTCAAACAATGACTTGGTCCTAAAGTCAGATTTTGAAGGAGTACCAAGGCAGAAAACTAAACCCAATGCTTCTTCCTTCCTTCTGGTGCACCTGTTCTAGCGTAATAAGTGGTTCACAACAAGTGATTTACTTCTTTTCTTTTTAAACAGTATATAGTTTTAATACAAAATAGCAAATGTGGCTAGCTTTGTCATTAAGCTAACATAAGTTCCATAAATTGGTTGAAAATGCTGATCATAGCTAACTTTTAAATCCTTCCAGCCAGGGTCAGATCAACCTCCCTTTGACCCATTCACTCTGAACATCAGATTTATTATTGAGCCAAAAACCAGCTGTGCTCCAGAGCTGAATTCATTAGGCAACTAACGAAAAAATAATTACCAGTTTTGAACAGATTTATAAGCAAGAATTCTATAAAGTCACAGCTATTGGCCACATTATGAATGTCTTTCATAAAGAAGTTGATAGTAGTAGTTAACAATAAATTTACACTGCTATAATTAAATGTTGCCACCTTGCATTGAGGTTTTCAGTTCATTAATTATTTAAAATCCATTAAAAATTGAAGAAAAAAATGCTGAAACCCACTTTACAATAAATAAGTTCAATATAAACTGATACATTTGAGGTCTTAAAGGACTGGGCCATCTTCCTTTTGTGGTGCAAATTGCTAACAAAATTACAATACATCAGATTACATGCCACACAATGTTGAATAAACCTAATTTTCGGGGCTCCAACAGGGACTAAGACTTGATCAGATGATAATCCAGCCTGGTTTCAAGATAATATTATTACACAAATTCAATAAAGGCTTCCTTATGCACTTAAAAGGTGTTGTAGTCACTGCGTCTTGAACCCAGAGTTTTGTGGGTCCATGATTCCTTTTGGGTTTTGTGAAGGGATTTTGTTGTAGTTCTATATTGTTAATGATCTTATGTTTTTTTAGTGTGTTATTCTACTGCTTTTGTTCTTTTAGTTTTTTGCTTGGGGTTGTTATAGGTTTGCTCTCCATGGTGTCTTTACATGTAAACGTTGAGTCTTTGCCTCAGTGTAAGTTCTGTCCTGTTTTATTTTGGTGGTCTTTGTCCCTTGTGCTTTGTACATTTGACTCCCCTTGTCTCGTTAACCCTGATTTGTTCCCACAGTATTTCCACTAGCCTCATTATCTTGCATATATACTCTTTGAATCTCCTCTTTCTAATTGTAGTGTTGTCCTTCAATGTTGTGTGCTGTAGTTCATGTATTCCTTGATGTGTGTTTTCCTTGGTTTAAACTTATCTTCTGAATTACCTTTGGACATTCTTATTTTCCATTATCAGTGTCATAGCCTTGTTTTATATTCCACTCCTGCGTCATGAGTTCTGCAACCTGCCTATCACACAGCTAACCCTGACAAAAAGGCAACAATTGTCTTCATTGTCATCAGTTAATCACAGTGTTTTCTGTGAGATGTAATGTCTCTATATCATTTCCTTCTAGAATAACCACGTTTGACTGCCTCACTTGTGTATCACAGACACATCAGTGGTAAAAGACTACACAGAAGAAATTCTAGTGATGCACAAGGATTTCTTCTTATTTTTCTTCCTCTCGATAGAATGAAGTCCTCATCTTTGAAGTTGCACCATATTTCTTGCTGCAGTCTCTAACTTCTTTTTCCAGTCTAATATTAGACAATTATTGTTTAGGGAAGCAGTTTAATGACCTGTTCATGCAGACAACAACAATTAATGGACACTCACTAGGGGTTTAATTAGATGCACAAATAATGAATAATGAGGTACTCGGATAATTGTGCTTTTAACGGGTCTTTTTCTTAAAGAGAAAACCATAAATTGTGTTACCGTCAGCAGGTCATAAACGGAGCTATGTTGTTTAATACGAATGACAGCTCTTGTTCTGAGATAGCTTGTTTATAAGCACCCAGGTTTACTCACTTTTTGAGGAAGGAGCGGCCCCTGATAAACCTCTGAAGGAGAATAAGATTACAGGCAGCGCGCTTCCACCTCAAACAGTGCCTCTCCCTGTGTTGAGATGATAAACTCTCATTGAGTTTGCAAAGACCATTTCCCAGCGGCTGTCTTTCAGTTTATATGAACTTTTCAAACAGCTAAGGATCTGACGAGGATCGTCACCAAGCTCGCAGGCTTTGAACACGTCTCCCCTGTGTATTTTACCCACCCCAGGACCACTGTCTTCAGAGGCTTGGGGAGAATAAAGACTCAGATCGACAGAAATCATCCCCCCCATTCCCACCCTATCCTTTACCCACCTTGTTTGTCCTATCACATGTGCTCACACTCACACACTTCCAAATTTATGATGCATGTAAGCATTTTTTGATGCGTGTGCGCTATGCATTTACACACAGATAACTCCCACCGAGAATCCCCTGTAGAGTCACACATCAGATCAGCCTCCCTTAAGAGAATCTCCCATTATAATGGAGTTTTCAAAAGCAGAATAATACATTAAGTACCTTCAAGCAAAGAGTGATATTATACTAAAAAAATAAATAAATAAATATTAAGCAAGCCCAGTGAAATATGCATAGGAGTAACTAGATCAGAGAATACTGTGGCTAAAAACTGAAGATGTCAAACGTTAATAAGAACACATTCAGTAACTAAAGCAGCATCTGAGGTCATGATGTTAAATCCAAGAGGTAACCTCTGGGGCAGAAATAAAAAAGTGAATACATAGGTGCTAAAACTACACTTGAGCTGCAAAATGCCTGACTTCTTCAGGTTTACCAAAAGGTAACTTCTGTAATCACCTTCTCCAAAATATACAACTTTTATCACCAGGGGCAGCATTTTATCAGTGGGTGTTGAAACATTTTCCCTGCTGTTCTTTCAGTTTTTGATATTTCTTTGTAGTTCTGCCCTCATTTCTTCAGGAGTTTTTTTTATTTTGCCAGAGTTAGCGTTAGGATAGTATTTTAGGTTTTTTAAGCTATTTTAAAACACAGGTTTAAGTCAGGGCACAGACAAATGTTTGCCAATGTGCAGACCATCAAATCAGTGAAATTACTGCAGCGTTGGTGCCTTTTGCAGCATTTAAATTAAAAGATCTTGTAAATAATATTACCCTTTTTGTGACGCAGATTGTCCAGACGTTTGTGCTTTGGTTTTAAGGACTGGTTTTCTAGCATTTTATTTGATTACTTTTAAGTGATATTCACAAAATGATCTGTGCGCCTTCTATCCATGCAGCATGCTGGTAAGTCTCACTACCTTAGTCAATCTACACTACCTTAGTTTGACATCTTTGTGGCTATGTCCATCTTTTATAAACAATCTGTGTTATGAAATGTCTATCACATTTCATAACAATTTTCTGTCCTGGAAAAGGTTATATTGACCATTGTTTTGCACTTAACAAGCTTTTTGCAGTCTTTACATCACAAGAAGTGATTGTTAGAGCACAAAAAAAAGAGTGCATACTTTCATCTACAGACTTGGGTAAAATGTTAGAGGACCACAGGACAACAACACGGCGGCAATGGCGAGCTGTAAAAACTGACAATCAAACCCACGTGCATGAAGTGTTCTGGTTTCAGATAAAAATAGAGTCACCATACACATAGCGCTTTGACGGGGATGAGTGATTGATGCTCAAAGATGTTGCCATGACAGACTGGCATACGGGAGAAAAACACTGAGGCAGAATGATTGGCTTCTCCTCTTTGATGTTTCTGTCTGACTTATTTGTGATGGCTGGTTACATCTTCAAACCCGTTCTGCGTTGACAGTTGTAATGACCCCAAACATTTCATCTGTCATAACTGAGTAGCGCGCTCACAACTTCTAGTGAAAAGACTTCTATGACCGAACTTCATCAAATATTCTCATATCCAGCCAAAAGGGCAGACGTTATTCATTTCCATTTGCCATGGGCTTTAAGTTTGATGTAATTAGCATGAAAAGAAGCTATAACTTTAATATCCAAGATTGAAAACAGAGGTGGGAACAAAAAGTTGCAAAATCAGAGAAAATACACGAAAACACCAAGAGTGAAAATAAAGGGGAAGTTGTTTTTTAAATTATTTTTAAGAGATGGTTTTTAACTACAGGACTGTCACTGGGATGACATTTTACAGCCCAACTCAAACCAGATTGTCCCAACACCATAAAAAAGGGGGGGAAAGCTGTGGTGCTCTGGCTCAGGCAGTCCAAACAGCACATTTTATCTCCAAAGTTGGTTCAGTCAAACCATGTGCAAAACAGATAAACCGTTCAAAGCCTGCATTTGTATGCCTGTTTGTATTTTTGTTGTGTATATGTGCAGAGACCAAAATATGCCAGTTCCATCCCGTCTGCAGGGCGGGAAGCGGTTTCCCATGGTTCTGTTGGGAAGCAGCTTTCATGTGGAAATGGTCTCCGGGTCCCTTTAGCCCCTCTGTTGTGACAGTGGATAATGAATTTCACAACATCTGCCATTTGTTAACCCTGTTTGGTGTAACTGATCTCCTTTTAATCCATGGACTTCCAATGTGTGCGCAGCTCTGCAGCTGGACTCAAGCAGATGGATCCCACGGCCTCTCTGGGGCTGCAGAGTAGTACTGGACTAGCAAATCTGTAGAGAACACAGACATCTATCTTTGACTGCTGTACTCATTACATTGCATGGACAGTAAATGAAGAACATTTTGAAAGGAGGTTTGTTCTCATGCTGTAGTTATCTAAAATGTTCATTAGAAAGGCTCAAAAAGGCCAAAATGTATTTGATATTAGGGATTTTATAATCACTTTGTTCAAAGCTACTATCCAGGATTGTGATACACAATAACATACACCATACAACACACGTAAACGACTCCAAACTTTTTTTTTCTGGAAAGAAAATGTGTATGTTCGTGAGTGACTATAAAGCTGTACCAATCATTCCTGGTATGTAAACAATCCAAAATGAAACTAAGCTCCTCAACTTTGTAGAACACTTTGGTGTCTTTCAGCTTATTATTTTGGTTTTAGGGCCTGAAACAATTTCCTCAATTTCCTAACAGCATTTACTATGTAGACAAATCCAATCTCCAACTCATATTTGCTGGAAGTGTGAACAGGCTGAAAACTTGTTTCTGCTGCCTTCAGAGGTTTAAGGGAGGATGAAAATCCATCGGTTTTTTTGGGGCCCACAAATGATCCTTTATTTGTGTGTTTAATTTTAGTCAAGGAGGAAAGAAAACACAATTACCCCTCGGATAATTGTGGGCATATTGCTAGGAAACACTTTCCCTGACCGTTCTATTTCATAAGGAACTCAGTGGCTTTTCATCACAGGGAGGGTCTAAATCAAGTTCCAAGTGAATTACAGCTGTATGTGCATTTTCATTTGCACAAGTGACACCTAAGAAAACCATCAGTCTCTGAATTACTACACTAAATTTTCTGGTTATTTTAATTTTAAATATGGCCATGGATAACATGCAACTGATTTTTCCCCCAACACAATAACAGCGAATATGTAAAGAATGTATTATAGTAATTTGCTGGGGATGAGTTTGCTAAGATAGGAGACTCAAACGATAACAGAGTATAAATATCACGTCTTTATCTATGACCAGGAATGGCTCAAATAGTGGATTCTGTCAATCTTCATTCCTTTCGAGTTTTCCACTTCATCTTTTGCCCTTTTCATAAAACCTGGAATGTGCATCAAAGAATGTAGACTATCTTTCCGCCATGAATAAAACATCTGTCATTCATCAGACAGTACAATATGTCCCAATTTAACCGAGTATAACAGCTCAGAAACGGACAGGGAAGCTCCTGCAGCTACAGAGTCCTGCGAAGTCAACATTCAACCAAATATCATCTCTCTTTTCTTTACAGAGGTGTCTGCTTTTTTTTAACAAATTTTAAATTTAAGTTTTAAGAAAGACCTCAATATTAACCACTGTGTTTTACAGACACTTTACTTCACCCGTGTTGAAGATGGCAATATATTCTGCCAACTCATTACACAAACCATTCAGGGTAATTTGTGGAGGGTTCTGCTCCAGTTTACTACATTTCTGTAGGATAAGAAAAAATAAAAGTCTACTAAAGTCTGTATCCAGAGGCTGGAGAGTTGACAAGTGGCATAATTGCACAATTTCCAAGTAAACTACCATATTTATACTATTCATTTATTTTGTCTTTGTTTTGTATTTGATACTTTTATTTCTCTGACACAGTTTGTTTATAAGCAGGCAAAGAATACGGTGAGTAAAATTTCTGCAGGTGATTGCACAAATATACTTTTTAATGTTTGTGATTTCAGAAATATTGTTTTTCTTTTTGTAATGTCTTGCACAACCCAAATAACTTTTTACATTTAGAAAAATATTATGGTTTATGGCTAAAAATGTCTCTGCATAAAACATCTCCAGAATTTCCTTGGCTTATCATGGTTAGCTGCATATAGAAGACATGTAGAGGACATATGTCTGGGTCTTAAGACACTGGTTTCAATCACTGAAATAATGTTATGGAAAAAAGTGCAATAAAAGTATACCCAGTGCATTAAAATTAATATATATGGATCATTTAAACACATCAGTATGCAACACTCCGGGTGTATTAAAGGGTTGCTGATGAATACAGTCAACAGTTGTCTGATGTCAGCTCTAAAAACTAATCTTGATGTAATCCGAGTAAAATTGAAAACCTGTGTTTTAAATTTAGCATTGAGTTTGACCAACTTAGGTTCTAGGAAAGGAAAGCTCAGCATGTTTACTGTGTGACATTTATAGTGGACTAAAAAAAAAGGAAAAAACAAGCTGTTACTTCAGGTTTTTTCTAATATTGCATCACTTGCAAATTTCCTGCATAAAGGCGCGATACTACATTTTTTCTTTTCATCATGAACTTTCTCTTGTTGCATGTGTTTATACTCACAGTACTGGAGTTGGACATGTCTTCTAAGCATCTCGATTTAAAAATGTACTTAACCATATATTAAAGGAAAATGGACATTCTGTATATGATTCAGGCGTGCTGAATTATCAATACATAACGAGTGTGGTTAACATGTGCTCCCTGTATTTGTATGTGGCTTAAGAGCATTTTAGCTGACAGTGATTTCTCCAGGTGAACGATTATTATCATATGTTATTTTAAATGGGGGGGGCATGGCAAATGGCAGTTGTGGAGGCCTGGGTCCGTGATTAAAGTTTATTTCAAAGGTTATGTCGCCTCCTTCCGGCTGTAAGGGCGGTCGTACCCATAGACATGGGTATTACCACCGCCGCACCGACAGGTGCCGCTGCAAGTGTATCTGCCTCTGGTGAAATTTTATTTCCGTTACCACAGTGCTCAGCCACAGCAGTTGGCCGCCGGTGCAGACCAAAACATAGACAATGGGCAAGAAGCACAAAAAGCACAAGTCCGAGAAACATGGATATGAAGGTATTTCATCCCACACAGTTCAGCTGCTTATCAGAATAAACCGTTTTTACATTTTAAATTAACTCGTAGCCCCTGTGTTTTTGCATTGTAGCACTGTTAGCACGACAATAGAGCTAGTTGGTAAAGTAGCTTATTGCTAAACTACCTTCCCGGCTTAGTTATATGGATATCTACACGTTTCCATCATTTTTTAAATGAAAAATAATAATACTGAGGTGGTGATGTGCGAATACAATACATTGTTCGCTAGACGTGCAGCGTAAGTTAAATGACTTCGTGTTAGTTGTTAGCGGCTATTGTTTCTAGCTTTCATAAGCTGCCGTATGTTCTCACTGTAGTCACACACCATTATTTTTATTTTATTATTAATTGGAATTTGTTTGTACAGAATATGGAGACAGACCACTGAAGCTGGTGCTGAAAGTGTCCGGAAATGAAGTGACGGCAGGAAGCTCGAGCCTTGACACTTTTTATGACGAACAGCCGGCTGACTTTGACAAACCCAAAGACAAGAAAAAGAAGAAGAAAAAGGATAAAGAGAAAAGCTTTGGGTCACCAGAGGAGGAAAAGGGGAAGAAGAAGGTAAACATCATATCTGTTGGTATAGATATTTTAGCATATAATGTTAAATATTTTAAAAGGGTAGTGTGTGTGTGTGTGTGTGTGAATTTAATGTATGTTTGTTTGTTTATTTTAGGTAACTAAAAAGAAGAAAGGGCAGGACGCAGATGGAGATGATGACCGGGAGCAGAGCAGGACTCCTATACGTTCAGAGATTGATAAACAGGAAGGTAATGTTAAATATTTCCCAAATTAATACTAACACTTATTCTGAAGGTTGTAGAAAGAATCTTAAGTTATTTTGCTCCTTTCCACAGAAAAAGAACAGACTCCTCTGCAGGAAGCTTTGAATCAGCTCATCAGGCAGCTCCAAAGGTGCAGCAGCATTTATCACCTATTGATCAGGGATAATTGTTCATTTGCATTTTTATTTTTATTTGACATTTAGTAATATCTATAAATAATGAGGTGAGCAACTCACCGCATTAGGTAATGATATTTCTGCGACTAAAAACTGTTCGTGTCTCCTCTGCAGGAAAGACCCGAACGCATTCTTTTCATTTCCAGTGACAGACTTCATTGCTCCTGGTTACTCTGCAGTAATCAAGCGTCCCATGGACTTCAGTACAATGAAGGACAAAGTAAAGAAAGAGTGCTACCAGTCACTGGATGAACTCAAGGTACATGTCTGTGTTACTGCCAGTTGTACTATTGCATTCGGTTAGAAGAAATAAATAAAATCGTTCTTTCAAGTTTAAAGACACAGCTCTTGTAATTGCTGATACTCTAGCTTACTGTAGGACACACTGACGTGGTGCTTATGGAGGACTCCCAGGTCCTTTCACATCCACTAATGATACTTGTTTTGGGTGAAAAATTTTGTATTTTTTCCCTTCTTAATGTATGTTCTGATACTTGATGTTTTTTGCCTGTCTTTGATGACAAGTAGCTTCAGTGCAATTTGCAGATTATACTTCTTTGTTTGATCAAACTGCTAAAACTGGGTGACCCTTTTTGTCAATGATGTCTTCATCTTATTCAAAAAAAAATTAAATCATGTTAAAAATGTTAAGTATATTTGTTTTCTCTAAAGGCCACATTTGAACACATTTTTAGTGTGTTTTAACTAACAGAAGCTGTTGTATTTGTCATGCTTTAAAATGTTACGCATGTCATTGATGCAGGTTGATTTCAGGATTATGTGTGAAAATGCCATGATTTACAACAAACCTGAGACAATCTACCACAAAGCAGCACGGAAACTGTTACATTCCGGAATGAAGATCTTGAGCCAGGTATCGTGACCTTGGACCGTTATTTTTTTTTTTACCTCTTTTTCTTGGGGGTAATTTGGGTTCATCAAGTTTTAAAAATTAAGGAGCTTTATTTTAAAACAGTGTACATGATAACAGAAAACTTCCGTTTGAAAGCCCCCAAAAATGTATTATGTATGTATTTATTATTTATAATTATTTCAAATAATTTTTTGTGCATCTAAATTTTTATAAAGCCTAATGTATGACAAACTTTGCAGTAATTTTAAAGTTGTAAAGACAATTTGTGTCCACATTAGCTGTTGTAGTTTTTTTTAGACATCTGTCAGCAATAAAAAATGCACACAAACATACTGCATTCATATGCACCGATTTTTCTTTTATAATTATATAACCATAACATTATTTGAATGGCACTTTTTAAAACACATAGTTCCATAGTACTACCCAGCATGCAGACAGAAAATTAAACCTACAGTCTTACATTCATTTTTACATACAAGGGGTAAACATTTTAAGAAAAGTTAACATATAAAAATTTGCTGTCATCAGTCTTTTAAAACAAGGAAGCGTGTACCAAAGTTTGTGAGCTGCAACCTCAAAAGCTTGGTCATCTCTGGATTTCAAATAGAAGAGTGTGGAATAGTTCACAGACTGTAATCAGATGACTGGAGAGGCCAGTTGTTGGAATGTGGTGTCACTAGCACTGTTATATAGACAGGAGCCTGGTCATGTAGGGTTTATGTGTTATTAATAACATTTTCAAATTAACAAAAATGTTTTGTTTTTGTGAGCAGCAGAGCTGCTGCACTCTGGAAAATTTGAAAACAGGCTCATAGTAATCTAAAGATCGTGGCTCAAGAGTTGGCAGTTCATCTTGTAATCAGAAGTTTGCCAGTTTGAGCCCCGGCTCGGACAGTCTGGGTCGTTGTGTCCTTGGGCAAGACACTTCACCCCTACTGGTGGTGGTCAGAGGGCCCGGTGTCGCCAGTGTCCGGCAGCCTCGCCTCTGTCAGTGTACCCAGGGCAGCTGTGGCTACAATGTAGCTTGCCATCACCAGTGTGTGAATGGGTGAATGAATGTAGTGTAAAGCGCTTTGAGATCCTTAGGGACTAAGTAAAGCGCTATACAAATACAGGCCATTTACCATTTACATAACAAGTGAGTTACAAAATTTGAGACAAGAGAAAAGTGAATTATGTACTAAAAGTTCCAAAATAGCACTCAAATAAGGACCCATGTGTTCTCTACTGATAAATAGCCTGCTGTAAAATGATCTGTAAGTCAGGCTGCTGTAACCTTGCTTTAGGAACAAAGCAACAGTTGGGGGCAGCAGATGCTCACAAACTCAGCAGTTTTCTTCTCCTTGGTTATTTTTTTTCTCTTTCTTAAATCCAAGTAAAAAGCATGTTTTTCACCTTCCCTAATAGGAAAGGCTGGACAGCCTGAAGCAAAGCATAGATTTTATGGCTGGTCTTGACCCTTCTGCCAAACAACCTTTGAAATCTGAGGAACAAACGAGCACCTTTCCGGACCAGAACAAGGAGGGACCTGCGACTACAGACAGCAGCGAGAGGTCACAGACACCCAGCACTCCCAGGTCCTTTCACATGTTGACTTTGCACACGTGTCCTTAAGCCTTGATGCCACATTTAAGTGTAGCTTGGAGAGCCCAGACTGCAATTCATAGAGGGATTTTAATAATACTCCTGACCATACTGTCAATATTTTAACCCCTTAAAATTACAGTTGGCCTGACACAATTACATATTTGTAAAATTAAAAGAGTAGAAGGTTTCACATTTGTATCAGCAGAACTGAGAAATATGAAGAGATGCAGCATATGAGTGGAAACTGTTTCCCATAAGTGCACCGTGTTGATTCCTGTGAGCTTGTTTTCCACTGTGGAGCTGGAGGCTGAGAATGTGGGGAATGCCTGATGACATGCTGGGGCTTGTTTTCTCTTGGCTATCATCTTTTACAGCTGTGTTTTAACTTAGTGATGTAACAGAACCCGTATGCTGACATTATGCCTTTTATTATGACTCGCTATAAGAGGACGAGCCCCAGAAAGCCACGTAGTAGGCTGTTTTTCATTCAGTTACCTTTTATCTCGTAAAATATGCTGTCTCAAAATCTTTATTGTGTTTGTTGACGTCAGCAAAAGCTTACAGGTAAATTATCTGAGGAATGAACACAGATTGTGGGCATACAATGAACAGAAGAACTCCTGCAAATTTCCTCTCTGCTGTGTGTATACTTTTTGTTGTTGCCACAAAGTACAGTGGGGCAAAAAAGTATTTAGTCAGCCACCGATTGTGCAAGTTCCCCCACTTAAAATGATGACAGAGGTCAGTAATTTGCACCAG